CATGAAATTATAATCCATTCGTCAATATGATCCGATCAATTACGAGATATGAAAGCATATCAATCCCGATTATCGATTAGATATTTTATTCCACTATTAAGTCATTATATAAGTCCCAGATTGCGACCCATCAAATTCCCAATCACGATGTCTAACGACGTGAATTATTATTTTGATCTAATCAAAATTGATAAATTAAAACACCATTTTAATTTATCACCAATTCATGTTCGCCATTCTAGATTGATATCTAGCAATGTGTCAAGGCAATACATGTGACGAAAAATGTCATGTGGCATGACAAAACCAAACTCGTTTGTTTATCGTGAAACTATAATCTTTTCGTCAATATAATCCGATCAATTACGAGATATGAAATTGTGTCAATCCCGATTGTCGATAATATCTTTCATTCCACTATTAAGTCAATATAAGTCGAAAACTCATTTTCAACTTTTGAATACACCACGTTCAAGGATTTTATTATCGATTTAATTGAATGAAATATAAATCATAATCTCTTACTATCTAAGAGTGATGAATCTTCTATTGGTCATTTATAACTTTCATACGATTTTTGAAATACCCAAACGATGTAGTATTAACAGCCCTTGACAGAGAAACATCCAATACCGTCAAAGTATGACTGTCCTCATATAAAGTACCATGCGACCTCAAGTCAAAGGACCAATTCCATCATCGAACGCTAGAGATTAACCACTGACACTCAGATAGTTATCCATGTAAAATCTCTCAGCGGGTCTCCAATATTCTGTTGTATAACAAAACGTCCACGTGTTCATTTAAGTGTCACAACATTTTAGTTTGTGAATTCAGCTACTTACTTCACAAGTAAGAAATGTCACACGTGTTGGTCTATTTGCAATAACGATATGTAAAGGGGCCCCAATGTAGTCTAGCCTATGTTTTTCTTTAAATCCCTTGAACTCCGAGAAGGTAGAGTCGAAATTACTATGAGAAAATATGCTAAAATAGTCAAAATGAATGAACGCATTTAATAAAAATTGGTGCTTGACTTTTTTTCTTAGCAGGAACGACTTATGATAGAATACGTCTTGTTTATCTTAACGAAATGAGTGAAATAGCTATCCCAATGCCAAAAATATTCACGATGTTCAGTAGTTTTTCGATGGCCTCCCTTGCATTACCAGATATGAGTGGTTTTGTTGCTGAATTAATAGTATTTTTGATTGGTGGAGATATACACACAAAAGGTTTACTTGTTACTAATCTAGTCTAGCCTATGTTTTTCTTTAAATCCCTTGTTTCACCCTGCGGGGATGGAGCGATAGAAGTTTTGAGAATTCAAGAGAAGGTCACAGCGAGACGAGCCGTTTATCATTACGATAGGTGTCAAGTGGAAGTGCATGAACCGGATATGGACAGTTTCAATAAGATTTCATTCTTGAACAAAAATCCATTACCGGGCATATAAGCAGTGATTTCAAATCCAGAAGTTAATGGTACTCTGACAACTTTACTTACAACTACGAATAATTTAAGATTCAATCATATGTAATTTGTATCTCACAAACACAACTCTTTGTGATTAACAAATTACTAAGATTTGAATCTACGGGCTATGTTATTTAATTTAATTGAATATTAATTAAATAATGGATCGACCATAAAATTGCATCAATTATATATTAAAAGTGATTATGTCCAAAGTTGATGCAAAACACTTGCAAGTTCTACATCATTGTCATAATGTGAGTATCCTTGAAGCATCGACTTTCAACTACCAGTTGAATTTGGCATGTGCCATATAGAGTTGAAATTGTTAGAGCGAGCCAATACGAGGCATAGGAATTTTATGCCATGGCTCTGAGGACGAGATATCAAATGAAGAAGGCATAATGCTTCTTGATCACATTAGTTGGATTGAGCAAGGGCACCATTGATAATTCAATCAACCCCAGGATAAAGAGCTAGAGCCAAAAGTTAGAGTAGTGGAAGAATTCGACAGACTATCAGTCAATTCCCAGGTATCAACTCGAATGCTCTAAGGTGATCAAAATATATTTGAATGACATCAACACGACCTTGAAGCCCTTTATAAAGGGCACCTTGGATGTGTTATCCTGTATATACAATTACATGGTTGGAATCAACCCAGTCATTAGTCATAGCTCAACATTGATCAAGGCTTCTGACCTCATGTATAAAAAGAAGCTGCTAAAAGCATCAGATATGGAGCTCCAGAGTAAGAGGTAAATAAGTTGATAATGTTCGCTATAGTGAAGAAGCAAATCTAGTGTACTAAAAGCATGCATCCCTTAACGATGAAAGACAAAAACTATTATATATATGCTAATTATCTAGATATGGGAAAAATATGGACACAATCATGCAAACATGTTATTTTACCTATTGTTCCCCCCAAATTTGCTTGAAAATTGGCTAATTAATGAGATAGTAACTCTTTTTGAATTGCGCAGCTTATCAAAAAAATCAAGTTATTAGTGACACGACCCGTCTCGAATCATCCTAATAGATCGGACACGTGTCGTGCGCCGATGGTAGATACTAATTAAGTGTTGGACCCACCACCAAGGTAACTTTGACTGTGATGAAATTTTAAAAGAATTTTGACAGAATTTCCCTTGAAATATGAACTAAAACCGCCTGAACAATAACCAATTTCCTCAAATCAATACCTATAATATAAATTAGGGTACGCCAGTCCCTAAAAATACAAACTATTCAAATAAAATCCTAGCAAATCAATATTTACTTGCTTTACAACCAACAATTTTCAAACGTAATAAAGATACCAAATATCTAATGAGCCCATAATGAATTTTTTTTTTTAACTACATGTATCCCGAAAGAACGCATACTATATAAACTGATAGAGGATGTCATACAACCTATGATACGTGGCTCAATTCGGTGGTTCGATTGGCTCCAAAACTGCTCAATTCAACTGCTATCTGTCTAATAAAGAAAAAGGTGAAACAAAAAAATGAGCTTAAAGCTCAGTGAGTGGATAGTTTTCAAATAAATAAACTTATCTCATTTATGCATATTTTTTGCAAATTCTTGCACTACTAAAACTTCTAAAAATTCTGAAATCTGATAACACTTTTAAAATCAAACATGAATACATCATAAGATTCTTTGTTCTTCATTCTAGATAAGTAACTGTAAAATGTAATGAATATAAATAATATGACATTTGTGAAAATCTGTGAAATAGTACTGCTGCTCAATACTATAAGTTGAAAGCTTTAATCTGAGAACTGAATAGACTGAATTCTATAATTTGAAATCTGATAAGGTGTAAAAATATTGAAAAATCACACCACAGAGGTACCCAATGATTATCCTTACTCATGTACAGAGTAATCTCGATATACAAAGCAGAGTCGTTCAAATCTGATATTTTGATAATCTGTTCATACGTACGCAGGGCTGCCCCAAAGGCTAATCACCCTAGTACACGGCTCAAAGCCTATGTGTGTACGAGAGTGGGTCCCAAAGACCTCTGATAATCTGGTCATACACTATGGAAAAACATTCACAATAGTGCAGAGCGAGTAAAATCACTATAACTAGTCATACACTGTGGAAACACATTCACAACGGTGCAGACTCGGGTAAAATCACCTGGGTACTTTTTGGTGGTTTTAAAAATAACCCTAGCTATATTGAAACAGTTATATTCAAATATCATGCTAATCAAATGATTTAATTGAATTAAATTTAACTTTAAAACTATCTGATTATAAATCCACTTCATTCTAAAAATCATGCTGTCAAAATCAATTGTATGAAATAATAAATTTTTTAATCTAACATAAATTTAATAAATAATTAATTTTTGAAAAATAAGTTTTATATCCACTCACTCAATACGAGCTACCAACTAAGTCGGTCGGCAAGCTTTTCCAATTTCTTTGTCACTACATGAAATACGTTACAAAATAACTAATTTAATCACTATTAAAAATAAAGAAATAATTTATTTCTAACGATATAAAAATTAAACTAAATTCCCCAAGACTTGCGAATTTTCCTAAATTTTCTTTAATCAATTGGAGCTAATTTCCATTTTCTAATACCTTCACAATTATATATCATATCCAAATTTAACTTCATTCCAATCATAACAATATTTATCCCCTTCATTCCAATGAAAAACTAGCAATCATACTACAACCAAATTAATATATTTATCGTTCCCCAAAATCATTCTTCCAAGTGAATAATTCCATTAACGTAATCATTTCCACAAATAATCCGTGTTCAATCATCAAATTTAAAAAGTAGGGTTTGCCTAAAAAATAAAAAAATTGATATCTCCTTACCTTAGTGTAGATAGAAATGCAATATTGAGCTCCAAGTAGTATTCATCTAAAAAATCTGAAAATTTCGAGCCAAAAATAAAACCCTAGGATTTTAACATAAAATTTATCTACCTCTTGAAGAAAATAAAGAGAAAGGAAAAATGGAAATAGACCTTGAACTACCTCTTTCCTTTATTCTTCTTTCTTTTTCCTTTTTCTCCTTCTCTTTTCTTCCCTCTTTTCTTTCCCTTTTTCTTTCCTTTTTCTTTTTGCCGATTTCTTCTTCTTCTCTGTCGATTATTTTTCTTGTTTCTTGTGTGTGTGTCTGTGTGTGTCTATGTGATTTTAGAGAAAAAAGAAATGGGTCAAAGGCATTTAAATCCCGCTAAATCCAATTTGCAAGAAAAGTCCCACTTCTCTAATATGAGCTAACATTTAAATCCTAAACTTCCCAAAAAATATATAAGTAAATTTTCAACTTCAAATTGTATCAAATTTTACCCTCATATATTGCCAATTGTAAAATAAACCCCAATAAAAGATTTTAGTCAATTCAAGTCCCAATAAAATCATTTATTTCATTTAAGTCCTTAATTGGCTTTGATCTTGAATAGTCAACATTTTTTTTGACTATGAAATTTGAGTTGTAACAATCTTACCTCCTTAAAAGAATTTCGTCCTCAAAATTCAACTGGCATCTGATAAGGTAACGAATAGATGAGGATATTGAACACGCATCTGAGGATCCTTATGCTCCCATGTAACCTCTTCTACTGTCTGATTTTGCCAAAGTACCTTAACAAGTGAAATTGTTTTGTTCCACCGAATTTGTACCTTTCTGTCTAGCATTCTCACTGGCTCCTTTGTATAAGTCAAATTCTCCTTCAAGTGAACTGGATGAGACTCTAGAACATGAGAAGGATCTGCAATGTACTTGCGAAGCATGGAGACATGAAAAACATCATGGATCCGAGATAATTCAGTTGGCAAATCTAATTGATATGCAACTGGACCAATCCGTTCAATAATCTCATATGGTCTAATGTATCGTGGACTCAACTTTCTTTGCTTGCCAAATCTCAACACCCCCTTCCAAAGAGACAATTTAAGAAAAAACTTTATCTCCTACTATAAATTCAAGATCTTTCCTACGTCTGTCTGCGTAATTTTTCTGTCTATCCTGAGTTACTTTCAACTTTTCTTTTAACAATTTCACATTTTTAGATGTCATTTGAACCAATTCAGGGCCTACTAACTTCCTCTTACCATCTCCATCCCAACAAATTGGCGTCCTCCACTTCCGACCATATAAAGCTTCAAAATGAGCCATTTCTATACTGGAGTGGTAGCTATTGTTGTAAGCAAACTCCATCATGAAACAATTGATCCAAATTTTAAATGTCTCAAAGACTAATATATGATATTCTCAGCTTTCATTTTACCAAATCTTAGAAAAATTTATCTAATTTCCAATTTGAAGTTCAAGATGTTACTTTCATATTCTTCAAAACTTCATCCTATGTCCTGATTTGAACTATTCTCTTATTAAAGTCTTTCTTTGAAGTAATTGGCTTAATAACTTTCTTTTGCATCTTCATCCCAATAAAGAAGTATCGGAAATATGCCAATATCATATATAACATTGATTATCGTCACTTCTATCTATTTCTCATATATCACCTCCATGAAAAATAAAAGATTGTCCAAGTTCCCTTAAATTAACAAACCATAGATGATAGCCTATCTTCTGAACTTGTCTTCCTTTAATATTAGCCAAAAATAGATACTCAACTCTACCATATAAATCACTGTCTTATCCATATATGTTTATTAATGTATCTCATGAGTTGACTATATTATTTAAAAATAATTTTGTAACTTCTATCGATTTATCATCAATAATTCAAATACCATTTTGTCTCCACTCTATCTACTTCAAACCTCAAATGAAAATATTAGAGAGTAACTACTTCCATTCTTAACTGACAATATCTGCAAAAATTCAATTGTTCAAAATTTTCTAAAATCCTGATATATTCAACAACAATTGAAATAGCTCATTATGATATACTTTTCCTTTAATTCAATAACACTTAATAATAACATCTACATAACTTCAAGTTCGACTCTTTTAAATAAAAAAAATATACCTTAAACTCCTATAATTGATAAATATTGTTCTCTTTCACAAAGTGATAGCACCACAATTCATAAATTCAACCACAATATAATCAACTATAAATCATGTTTTAATCATGCCTCTTCAACAATCTATCGTATACTCCATAATTAATCATTTTACTTCATAACACATTCTAAACCTTAACATGATCCATTATCATAAATCAAAATCAATTTTTGATACAAGAGTAGATATTTCCTCATAATTTAATCTAATTGCAAAACTTTTACATTTCTAAATCCACACAACTTTGGTGTTCTTTCTTTCTATGAAGATACAATAATCACGTTAATCCATTATAATTCTATACTCTTATTCTATAGAGAGGTCATTGACCTATTGCCAATGCATAAGCTTTCTTGTATATAACATAAAGACCTTTAATTAAGATAATATAATCCAAAAATACAATTTCACAATTGAGTAAGGTTTACATTTGAAAATCACCTTAGACTTAAACTATCCAACATCTCATCTGTATATTCCATAGCGAATAGACCTTGATAAGAATAGCATACTTTAATCATGAGATACAAAATTACAATTGAAAATAACCCAAAAATTACATCACTAAAAATTCATCAAATTCACCTCAACTTTCAAAAATTAGCTCAAGCCTCCAAATGGAATATAATATAACATAATAATACAACCAATAACCGAGACAAAATTAATTAGCTTAATAGCCCAACTATCTCATCGCATTATATTGCTATAGGACAAACATAAATCTCATTTACTTACTATTCACCCGATCATGTAGTCTGGTAATTAATCGTTATATTGTAGGACTTAAAACATCTAATTATATCAATTTTTCTTGACATCACAAAATAATAACCTTAATATTTATCACGTGAACATTTCACACATCAATCTAACACTAAGATTTCATAATTTGATTCTCAATCTCCCTGAATTTCAACTCTACCATTCCTCTTTTCTTCTTTTCTTAATAATTTACATAGCATCACTTCATTCTTCGAACCATACATACTTATATGTCAAAGATGATATATTAATCACGTTTTTTTCCCAATGCATTATTCTTTTTCTGTAATTTAAAAATGAAGACCAACATGCGTTTCTTAGACATCAATCATATCGTTTTCACTAATTTACATAGATATACCTATCCAATAATTCTCTTCCTCCAACAACAATTTATCCCACAATAGGTAGTCTTTGTGAAGTCTATCCATACCTTTCTTTCATTTCTTATAATCAAATAACCCATAATTAATCAAAAATGATTGGAGTTGCATGAATGTCAATTCCCTCGATGCATAACATATACAGTGACACACTATTCTCTACCGATCGATATTCAATATAATATCATCATTTATCATTACTTTTTTTTTCATATACCCAATCTACATAATTAAATCCTTAATATTTCCTTCAATAGTAGTTGAAGCTGTATGGACCCAGATACTTAATTGTTCATGAGTCAACAAAGGGGAAAAACCATAGTCATATTAATTTACTCAAAATCTCTAGGTAAAACATATTTAATAACACCATTTTGGTCATGAATCGACATTCCATATGATCTCATTATTTCTGTCATGAACAAAATTTCTTACCATATCTCCACATCTTGATTTTCTAATACATGTATCTTCCACCAAATACTAAATATGATTACAAATTTCTACAATAATTCTCATAATACCACACTCATTTAGATTTACAAAAGTTATACTCTTCGCTTAACTGCATGTTGGATATACAACGCAATTATTAATAAATTAGAGACAATATAACATGGCGCCAACATGGCACTAACAACTCTCCTTAGGATTAGATAATTCTCAATAACATCCTAATACTTATTATGCTCAAATCAATAAAGTTCATTCTTGTTTCTTAGATGTCATATCCTCGTTATCAGGGCAATATGAGTTTCAAATACCACATCGGAGCCTGTGAGTTCTGCCATCATGCCACGACTAACAATCTCAATGACATGCTATTCTGAGAAAGAAATTCATGAATCACCCAAACTTGAAAACCATTGAACCATGCTCTGATACCAATTGACACGACCTGTTCCGAATCATCCTAATAGACCGGACACGTGTCATGGCCGATGGTAGATACCAATTAAGTGTCGTACCCACCACCAAGGTAACTTTGACTGTGACGAAATTTTAAAAGAATTTTGATAGAATTTCCCTTGAAATATGAACTAAAACCGCCTGAACAACAACCAATTTCCTCAAATCAATACCTATAGTATAAATCAGGGTACGCCAGTCCCTAAAAATACAAACTATTCAAATAAAATCCTAGCAAATCAATATTTACTTGCTTTACAACAAACAATCTTCAAATGTAATAAAGATATCAAATATCTAATGAGCACATAATGAATTTTTTTTTTTAACTACATGCATCCCAAAAGAACGCATATTTTAATATCATAGAGGATGTCATACAACCTACGACGCGTGGCTCAATTCGGTGGTTCGACAAGCTCCAAAACTGCTCAATTTGACTACTATCTGTCTGATAAAGAAAAATGTGAAAAAAATATATGAGCTTAAAGTTCAGTGAGTAGATAGTTTTCAAATAAGTAAACTTTTCTCATTTATGCATATTTTCTATAAATTCTTGCACTACTAAAACTTTTAGAAATTCTAAAATCTGGTAACACTTTTAAAATCAAACATGAATACATCATAAAATTCTTTGTTTTTCATTCTAGATAAGTAACTGTAAAATGTAATGAATATAAATAATATTACATCTGTGAAAATCTGTGAAATATTATTATTGCTCAATATTATAAACTGAAAGCTTTAATATGAGAACTGAATAGACTGAATTCTATAATTTGAAATTTGATAAGTTCTAAAAATGTTGAAAAATCACACGGAAGAGGTAACCAATGAATAGCCTTACTCATGTACAGAGTAATCTCGATGTACAAGGTAAAGCCATTCAAATCTGATATTCTGATAATCTAATAATCTATTCATACGTACGTAGAGTTGTCCTAAAGGCTAATCACCATAGTTTACGACCTAAAGCCTACGTGTGTACGAGAGTGGGTCCCAAAAACCTCTGATAATCTGATAATCTGGTCATACACTATGGAAACACATTCACAATAATGCAGAGCGGATAAAATCACCATAACTAGTCATATACTGTGGAAACACATTCACAACAGTGCAGACTCGGGTAATATCCCCTAGTACTTTCTGGTGGTTTTAAAAATAACCCTAGCTATACTGAAATAGTTATATTCAAATATCATGCTAATCAAATGATTTAATTGAATTAAATTTAACTTTAAAAATATCTGATTATAAATCTACTTTATTCTAAAAATCATGCTGTCAAAATTAATTTATGAAATAATAAATTTTTTAATCTAACATAAATTTAATAAATAATTAATTTCTGAAAAATAAGTTTTATATCCACTCACTCAATACGAGCTACCGACTAGGCCGGTCGACAAGCTTTTTTAATTTCTTCGTCACCACCTGAAATACGTCACAAAATAACTAATTTAATCACTATTAAAAATAAAGAATTTTTTTATCTCTAATGATTTAATAATTGAACTAAATTTCCCGAGACTTGCGAAATTTTCCTAAATTTCCTTTAATCAATCGGACCTAATTTCCACTTTTTAATACCTTCACAATTATATATCACGTCCAAATTTAACTTCATTCCAATCATAACAATATTTATCCCCTTCATTCCAGTGAAAAACTAGCAATCATACTACAACCAAATTAATATATTTATCGTTCCCCAAAATCATTCTTCCAAGTGAATAATTCCATTAATGTAATCATTTCTACAAATAATCCATGTTCAATCATCAAATTTAAAAACTAGGGTTTGCAAAAAAAAAAAAAAATGATATGTCCTTATCTTAGTGTAGATAGAAATTCAAGAATCAATAACTTGAGCTCCAAGTATTATTAATCTCAAAAATCTGAAAATTTCGAGCCAAAAATAAAACCCTTGAATTTTAACATAAAATTTATCTACCTCTTGAAGAAAATAAAGAGAAAGGAAAAATGGAAATAGACCTTAAACTACCTCTTTCCTTTCTTCTTCTTCCTTTTTTCTTTTTCTCCTTCTTTTTCTTCCCTCTTTTCTTTCCCTTTTCTTTCTGC